ATTATTTGGAATGACCTTCCAATGTAATATTATTGTTGTCTTCAAGCAACTGATCATTCCTTTAGAGACATTCAAGATATTGATTGCCTATTCAGAGGAATTATAATAGTTTTTGATAGAGATTTTTTTCAAATATTTCTAGCAATTGTGAAAGAAACTTAAGAAAAAATTGTAGCAATACCTTTTTTGCATTTAATACTTTGGCCTCAAATAAAATTCCATATATTAGAAGAGAATATGAAGTTGAATTTAGGAGCACTTCAAGCACATATCAAGATTATTAATTGGCATCTTTAAGTATAAAATGCACATACACGTTATATATATAAATGGTAGTGCATTTAAATTCTTTATGGTTGCATTATTATTAACTAATATTTCTATTTGTCACTTATCAAATTAGAAATGGTACAAACTTATTGCTTGATAATGTAGTTAAGCTTCTTAATCACATGATTGTTGGTGAATAATTCATATTCTTAGTTGATGTTGTTTATTTAAGACTAACAAAAGACAATATAGCAAATAATGCCTTCTTTAGAAATAGAATCATTTTTTTGACATGAAATGATGATGTTGAGGATATTAATGAAAAGCTTATGGCCATAATTTTCCAAGAAGAACAAAAATATCTAAGTGCTAATGAAATTGTCAAAGATGGTATCAACAATAATAATATTTATCAAGTAGAATTCACCTAGTCACTTAATCTATCCAGAATGTCGAATTCAAGACTTTATCTTAAGATTGAGACTCTAATAATATTACAAAAAATATTGCTCATTGCTAAGGACTTTGCAATAAAACTCAATTGATAATTATATAATTAATGGATTAAGTTCTTAAAGCAAGAATTCTTGGAAGAAAATTTGCTAGAAACTTAGTATTCATTCCACAAATTATATTAACTTCTACAACAAAAGAACTTCTATTCATTCTAAAGAAAAAAAAATCCAATTTGTCGTGCATTTTTAATAACAATAAACAAATTCTAAAGACAATCAATGAAGTACATTTGTTTGGATCTACAACAACCAATTTTTTTCCATAGTCAATTTTATGTAGTACTCTCTTGATGCACTTCCTCTCATTCTATCAAGATTCTTCTTCCTAGAAATGTCAATTTAAATTCCGTGCTAAATATTAATTTTTTAGAAGTTTTAATTAAATAAATATTAGTATTTTTTATTTTTTATTTTTTTTAGTACAACTTTAAATGTCTTAACATACTTTTATGATTTCTTAATGTAATTTAATATATTAATTTTTATTTTCATAATAATTCCTTGAATAAAATTAATTACTTTTTTGCATATAATTCATAACAATGGCACAGCTTTACTTTGTAGCTAAAAGTTCTATTGTATATTTTTTTTATATTTATTTTTATTATATTTTAGTTGTATTTAAGAAATATTTTTTGGCTCAAAAAATACTACATTTGAACCATAATTTTTGTGACAATGACACAAGCTCATCTAAGACAAATATATGTATATATATATATATATATATATATATATATATATATTCTATTTATATGCTAAATTTTACTAATTTTTATATATAATATTTAATTTATTTATTTTTTGTAAAATTTCTACTTCTAATTTTTGTGACAATGACACAAGTTTATTTAAGATAAATAAAAATAGATATATATATATATATATATATATATATATAATATTTATGTACTAAATTCTACTAATTTTTGTATATAATATAATTTATTGATTTTTTGTAAAATTTTCTACTTCTAAGAAAACAAACATATTTTCATAACATTACAAAGGTTTTTTTTTTCTAAAAAATTACAAAACTATAAGAACTATTAGTTCTTTTAGTTTAAATAATAACCTAGATGTAAGTAAAAAATTAAAATTAAATTAAAATTAAATTAAAGTAACTAATTAATTATTTTTTTAATACCAATTGAAGTTGATTATTTATAGATGCAAGTATACATCAAGTTAACAAAGTCTATGAAAAATGCAACTACATAATCTTGGATTTGATGTTTTTTCATTTCATATACTTCTAAATTATCAACATTTTATATTAGTTTACTATATTTTAAAAGTCATGTTTAGACTCTTTTAACATAAGACATTATTTTATTTGTCATATATTAAGTAATATAAGACATTAATTTTCTATTATAAGACATTAATAAAGGACATCAAAGAATGCTAGAGATGTACAAGACGAGCAACCTCAAATTTAAAACTCAATAACTACTTACTTTTGTTCTAGATTAAGTAAATTGTTCCATATTAGAAGGTCTTAAATTAAGGTCAAATGCATGATTTAAGAACAAATGTCATACATTAGAAGGGTCTGGTCATGTCTTTAAAAAATATATTAAAAATTAATAATATTATTAGTGTGGTAGGAATTTTTTTTTAAAACCAATGATATTTTAATTAACCATGGTATCATTTTTATTTGATTCTTATGAAAATAGAACTTAGATTGACATTTAAGATTGCAATTAGAGATACTACACTTGTAACAAGAAAATTATTTTTAGAATTATTATCTACAAAATATACTATATACTTGATTTTAGAGGCAAAGTAAAGTATTAATTTCAGTCCAATCAAAAATCTTACAAAGTTATTTTGATTAACAAAGATTATAGATAGCATATACTTCAAAACTAGTAGCTTATATACTACACATTAACAACTATTATTGTTAAAAATATTTTAAGAGAATGTTTTTTTACATCTTTTGTAATTGTAAGGAATATAAAACATAAATCTGTATAAAATTTAGAAACTCTATTAATCACAAGTACGTATGATTATTGCAAAATTGTAGAAAATAGCTTAAGGATTTTTTTAAAAGAAAAAGTATCTACCAATAGATAGCATGTACTTGATATTATTAATTATAATAGCATCTTACAAATATCTATAAGTTGCTTAAATTAAATTTTTATTTTTAGTAAATATTATGTATATACAAAAATAGAAGAAGGAACAAAAATAATTTTAAAGAATCAATTCTAAAATATTAATATATATATATATATATATATATATAAAGAAATTGATTATATAATGGTTTATAATTAAAAATATATATATTTATATAATATAAATAAAATAAAATATTTTTATTAATATCAAAAATATAACTATTGAATTTTTTTGTAACTTATGTTTGTAATATCAATGAAGTAAAAAGACTTGCATAAGGTTATTAGAAGTAGGTCAAAAAATAATTAACAATTGTTTTTGAAACAATTTTTTTTTTACTAAGGTAGAGTTTAGACACATTTTTTCAACCATTTGATTATGGAGTGATAATATTTGTTTAGAAAAATTTGTAAAATTTGTAGAAAAATTCCATAAATATCAAATATTTAAATAAATCAGATTTTAATATATATTTTATATTTTATATTAAAAATCATAATTTTTTACTTCAAATATCAAATTGTAAAAAAACTTTAAAGTTGAGATCCTATAAATCCATACTTTTTATTCCAATTCCAACCAAGTAACCTTGTACACTCATCTATTATTGATACCAATAACAACAATAATTGTAACATGGCATTAAGAAAAGCACAAATCAACACAAAAGTTCAAACAACTTATTTCATTAAAATAATCTAGTTAAAACATCTAAGAAAATGTCATATATATTCCTCAAATATGCTAAAATATAAAGAATATTCTTATATTCTTGAAATAGAAAATATACTTCTTGTGATACCCTATCATATATGAAGGGTACATTTGCTAATATCAAGAATACATGGATTACAAGGTTACATAGGTATTCTTGATATTTCAACGTATTTCAGAGATATACATGATATTTTCTCTAAAAAGAACCCCTAGATTCATCATGGGCTCCATGAAACATTTATCTAAGGAAGATGGATGAATAAGCTACAATACTTTTTATGTTTGCATTTCAGCTTCCTTTACTTTTAGAGCACAATGAAGAAGGGTGCTAAAGGCAATGAGCTAAGCAAAGCTTCAAAGATGCACAAATTGTGGTGTCAGATTCTTGAGGCAAGTTGCACAACTTGCAACAATGCAAGCAAAGAATGCACAAAAATCAAATCGGAATAGAAGTTTGTTGTTCCATGAATCATGACCCATTACCAAACCCTACTCTCTTTTTCTCACTCTTGGTCGTCTTACAAGTCCTTTCCCCCTCATGCTGCCCTTGATGTCTACATTGCTTTGTTTAATTGGTGAAACCATAGTCAAGATGCAACACTCTCTTGCTTAGTAAGGGGGAGTTGGTGGATGTCATAGTTCCTAGGCCGTTGTCTCGTGTGTCTTGGAAGAAACAAGGATTGTGCACATTTATATCAAGCTGTGGGTGTAGTGATAGAATATGCCTTGGAATAGAGAAAATGCAGATGTTAAACCGTCTTACAATTTTCTGGTGAGGGTAATGTAGTTTGTGCAAAATTCAACGGCTTGCCCTTCTGGTCATGCTGATAAGCTCCTGGGCACTCACACCCCCCCCCTATCACCACGGGCCCGGTGCCCCCGGACCCAGCCCAGTCTAATCCATTGGCTTTCCAAGTAGCACAAAGTGGCAGGAAGAAAGAAAGAAAGAATCGCGGGAGAGAGAGTTAGTCTGGGTGTGTGTGTGTGTGGGTGTTGTGCATGATCGAAGCGATAGAGCTTCGGCACATGTGCTTGCCGTGGTGGAGGAGATACGACCTTAGCCAAATTCCATGGACCTACCCCCTGATTGTATCCTCCAGACAATTCCCCCCTCTCGTTGTAAGTCCCCCTTGAATCTGGTGGCGAATCTGTGGGAACAATTCCTTTCGTGCAAGCTAAGGAGAAAATGAGAAAGAGAAAAAAAGAGAAATAAGAAAATAATAATAATAATAATAATAAAAAGATGAAGAAGGAGCAAGAGCGCGACAGCATGACACCCAGCTCCTGCATGAATCTGCGTCTTCGCTTGCTGCATTCCGATTCTGGGAGGCAGACGATATGCGCGGTGTTTGTTGGAAAGTGGTCAATATGATTGGGGAGGCGTGCTGACCCCCCCTGGAATTCATACAGATTCTGGCTCTATGTGAGTGGATTTTTCTAGATATGGCACACTGTGTATGTAGGGTGCTGTGTTCGGTTCCTTCTCAGCACGACTCTCAGTGTAGCCTGGCGGACTCGCTCGAACATCGACCATTTTCTTTTTGGCCGGTGTCAGTTGGTCCTCTGTATATATATATGTAGATATGTGGATATCTGTAGATACACAATCGTTCGATTCGTAGGCTTGGTTGTTACTCCGACCACTGAAACAACCATTTCTTTGACCAGTCTATCGTGATCTCTTTGGAAGAAAATGTGGTTTGCCGATCTGCGATTAAAGGCGGTGAGTTCCTACTTTGTTGTGCGAAAGGTTGTCCATCGTTTCGGTAGATGTCACTTCTCTTTTGGCTTGGAGTGCTCTTCCTAGGCTGAGGTGATCTGAGAACGTTTCGCTTCTTTCGCAACTTAGAATGGAAAACTATCAGTCTGCCTTCGGGGTGTTACAGGTAGGCCAGACTATTGCAATACATCTGGTTGGCTGTGGGTCTGAGAGGGTTTACAGTTGAGATTTAAGGTGTGCCTACTTAAACTGAGACAGCTTTTATTCCGTCGCTGAAGGTCGAAGCAAATTTTGCGTACTTCCTTTTAGCTGTATTGTTTCAATAATACAGCTGATCCGATGAAATCTTGCCTTGATTCATTGTTATTCCACCATCTAAGTGGTGGATTCTGTATGCATTTGATTGAATTTTGAGTCTTGCTTCCCACTTCTAACCCCGAATTTTTCCAGTTGAACATGTGGTTTATGAAAACCGTGGCGAAACTCTATTACGGGGAAGAGTTCAAATCTTGAGCAGGAGATATTCATGAGCATACCTCGTCGGAGACATTACAGATTTTCGGGCCAGTTTATGTGAAGTGCGGTTGAGATGTAGAACCTCAAACTCCTTACAACCATTTGGCATCATATCTCACGCTAAGAAGCCAAGAGAACGTGACAATGATACACGAGTCCTCATATCAATCATGTGCAAAAGGTGAATTGAGCTCCTTATATGTTGAATTCAAGACGGCATTTACTGAACAATATCACTGGACCGAGCTTCAACCAGGAAGTCCAGATCATGGAAACCTCACAACAGACAAGCTTGCTAAACTGAAACAGAGGTGGGGCTCTTCTTTGGTTTCAGTGGCTTATGGATCTATGCTGACCTTGGGCGAGAGGATCGGAGAGGGAAGCCAGGCCGTGATTTACGAAGCTTTGTTAGGAAACCGCCCTTGTGGGTTGATAGCCAAAGTGTTCAAAGAGCCTCTCTTGGTTGTGCAAAGTCAGTGGCCTGCGAATATCTTCGAACTGGAAGGCGTCTGCAAGTACATCACGCGTGTTTTTGGAGGAGCATTATTGAACGACGGAAGATACGCTTTCTTGATGCTAAAATTCGAAGGCGACTTGCGCAAAGTCATTAACGAGAACATTGTGCGAAACAATGGAGGAAAGCCTTTTAATCTGGATGAAGCACTTCATTACATGATCAGAATAGCCTCCGGAATGAAGACTCTCCATTCAAAAAATATCCTTCATAGGGACCTCAAGGCTGCTAATGTTCTGGTGTGGTCACATCCAGACAAGCATGCCTGTGCAGTTGATGTGCGTGATAAATTTTATTGCGCAGTGTCGGATTTCGAGACATCCATTGGTGTGTTGGGAACAGCATTCTGGCGACCCCCAGAAATGTTGCAGGCTTTACAAGATGGTCACCTTTCGGAATTCGAAATCACAACCAAGGTCGATGTTTACGGTTTTGCTATGACGTGCTATGAGATACTGACGGGACAAGTGCCGTTTAAAGATAATTTTGTAACAGACTATAACTTAGTTATCAATGGGCAACGACCTGAGTTGCCAAATGTCTGTGCTAAATTGAGGGGACTTTTAGGCCGATGTTGGCATCAAGACCCAACCAAGAGACCTGAGTTCTCAGAGATTGTGCACCTTGTAGGTGAGATAATGACAACGGAACTGAATATCCCAAAACATAAGGTTGAGTGGATTGCCAAGGCAAGACCAGATTATATGTGAAAAATTATCACTTCAGGAATCTTTTTTTCGAATAGGAAGAAGTGTGACAAGGATCTGTATTCTAGCCAAGTTGCCGACCGACACAAAGACAAGTAAAATACTACTGAGATTAATAACACATCCTTTTTTGAACAGTAGTCACGTGCCCTTAAGGACACTTCCTAAAAGCCACGAATATTAAAGCTTTTCTCAATTCGGTTGATTCTGATTTGACTCACGTTCGAAGTGTGGTCTCCTCGCACCCTACTCACGGCATATTCGACATCTTTCTCTTTTGTTACAGACAAACTGCAATCGTGCTAATCGAGCCTTACATTCGCATGAGAAGACCTTTCTCCACCACAAGTCTATTACTCTACGGGCCAGGACAGGCCACCAGGGGTTGAGTCCTACAATCGAAGTAACATTCACTGCTACTATCTCTCGTCCGTGACCTATTTTCCAGGCTCCTCACCATGACACTGCAGGTTTGCCACGACATGCTAAGCTCAGCACTTCAAGCAACGTTCGTTTTAAGGAATCTTTGCTCAGGATCAAGACGCACATTCTTTCCCTCCCTCTCTGCAGGAACCGATCTGATATTTTAAGATCTTCTCCCATCATTTCTTCAGTCCGAATCCGCACCTCCAACAGCACTACCCAAGTAAGATTGTGAGAGTTTAGTCTCAATCCATAGAGCCTGAGGCTGCAATTGCCTGACTGAAGAACCTGCAAGGTAAGCCTGTGCCCGAGGTGATGCTCTTGTAGCATCCTCACTGTCTTTGTATGCCAGCTTCTAAAATCTTGCAACAACAACTGCAGACTCCTATGTTGCACTGCCCACCACCAGTCTCGCCAACTCCTGGCTCCAAATCGCTCGACGCCATCACAGTCTGGAGCAAGACGATGAACTATCCTTCTAAAACTGCACTTTAGCAAGTTCTGTCGGTCGAATTTATCACAAACACCGACAAGTTGCACAAACTTTGCAATTCGATAGTTTTCCCAACACATGTGATCCTGGAGGACGGAGATATCATCCTTAAGATAATGGAATGATGTTGGACTCTCTAACACCACAGAGAGGATACAAATAGGTTGTGAATATTAAGTATGATTCACAAACATTTTACTGTTGTTCTATAACGGCAAGTAGTGTGTTGTAAAGTAGTATGACATTGCACCCTGTTGTAGCCGAACACCTACAACACGCTTAGACAGAATACTAGATTTTATGTGTCTCCACAACTTATCAGTTATGTGAATGGTGAGTAGCATTCTAATCTTGGGTACATTACACAAATTATACAAGTTTCATTTTCTAATTTTGTGTGAATTATATGTATAAAAGTAGTAGTTGTAATAACTTCTAAGATCCATGTAGACTCTTGCTTTGCTTTAGTAAGTTGTAATTATAAAAATATTTTTTTTAATTATAAAAATAGTACTTTTAAAATATAATAAATTATTAGCACAATCATCCATTCACATCAAGATTTGTGAATACTCACCGAAACAATAACTCTACTTCTATCTAAGTTTGTATTTGTTTGTGTCTCCAAGCACATATAAACCTAGCCGCTTCTCATAAATATTTCATTATTGTTTCATGTGCATATGTATGTATTTCTCTCATGGTATCAGAGTGCTCTAGATCAATTGTACCTTATGATTGACTACTCAACTTTGCTAGTTTTAATCTCACTTTAGCTTTACTAGTACCAATCAAGTCCAATCTCTTGTAGATCTACTAATCTCTCAATGAATCTATACAAACAAATTAGTGACTCTTTGATAGTAGCACCATAACAAATGATAGTGTTGTTTTAGAAGAAGCAAAGCTAGTAGGCTCATCAAATTTTTATCTTTGGAGATACATGATAATTTGTATAGCTAAGCGTGAAAAACTCAGGTTCTTTCTTCTACCTTCTACCGCATGAACCTCTAAACTTCACAATGAAGATATAAGAAATAGAATAATTACAAATTCTAAAGAGATAAGAGATGAAGAATTTTTTGAGTACAAAATGGAGGGTTGTCATGATGTAATACAACTATATAGTGAAATTATAATCAAAATTAAATTTCTAATTAATGTCTAATTATCTTAGTTGAATAATAATTAGAGATATCTAAACATGGCTTTTATAAAAGACTCTTAGGTTATTTTCTTATCTTAATAGTTAGTAGATTGAAGGTTAATTAGTAATTTTATCTTCTAGCTGTAGAGACTCTTTTACTACCCTAAAAAGACCATAAATTGATAAAATCAAGTTAGGATAGGAAAATAATTAGTATAGTTGATACTAGGTTTAAGTTGAGGATAGGATTGGGCTAAAAAATCCTTATGATAGGTTAGATTGATACTCGGGGGTCGACCATTTGTGAGACAGAATCAAAATCAAACCTCCAGCTACTAAAATGACTACCTCGGGAAAAATAGGGATTCATTTGAAGATCAAAGATTAGGATTTCAAAGCTAGGGTAGAGCTTGTTTCAAATACATAAAATTGGTTTTGGTAGGATTTAGAAAGAGTTATCAATTATTGTTGGAAGTCAAGGTTTGTATTGGCAACTTGGCATTTATGCAATGAAATTAAGGCTAACACTCTCGGCTAGTCCATAAAATTGGTGTCACATCTTTGGTTCAAATTTTGAAAGTGCTTCGATAATTAGGTGTTCTAAGTGTATGTGATATTTTGTGGTAATCCAACGATGCAATTGAGAGATATGTGGATTTTGGTACAAGAACATATCAGAAGTTGGCAGTTGGAGGTTGGATAGGGTTTCTATGGTATTTGAAGATCTACTAATTGGATCAAGGTGAAATTTGGCATGGTATTGAAGGACTTGAAGATCAAGTTGCACATCAATTTTGAATCAAAGTTAACAATTAGAGAAGGAGAAATCTTTAATGGAACTTTTACTTCACCTTTCAAGTTAGTGGCTGAGTGACATTAGTGCAGTTTTTGGAGGTTTTTATACAACCTATAAGTTGGATTGGGCTGAAAATTCTTGAGCATATAGAAGACTTACACATTTTCAATTGCAAGAAAAATTTTACATCAAATAGATGGTCAGATTAGAAGTTACAGCTTGTCAAAGCTGATTGATTAGGATTTGAGCTTACAAGAAAAATCTACATTGCTTAAATATGAAAGTAACAAGGTAATTGAGGTTTATGTGTGATTGACGCTACTAAGAAGAGTGTTTTTTAGTACTTTTGAAATGGAATTTGGATTATATTCTTCTCATATGGATGAAACCTATTAGGGTTTCTTGGATATTTGTAAAACACAACCTCACCTTCTACAACTAGGTGCCCGGTGCATTTCCAAGTAAGACAACATGTAATACGACAATGTCTTATATATATTCTTACTATGTCAATTAAATCTAATTTGTTTGCAGAACTAACAATGTTTCATGAATCTAAGCCTCTATGAAACTTTTTATGCTTGTCCTTTGAAACAAACAACAACATTAAGAAATTTGACTTAGAAAAATAGGTTTTCACTTTTTTTATGTTCTCACAGAGTGAAGGCATAAAATCCTATTGTTTTTCAATTTAGACAAATTTTAATACAACTGTCTACCATTGATATCAAAATAGATGACATAAATCTTATTCAAATAATTATGGAAGCCCTTCCTAATAGTTATGATAATTTTTTGTAAAATTATACAAATATAAGAAAGTTTCCAAATTTGGAATAATTTCAAATTTATTTGATGCTTGAAGTTGAAGAAAATCCAAATTAAGAGTACAAACTACTACTAATGAAGTATTATATTTTAAGAAAAAATTTACTAATGGACAATAGTCTCAATTTTCAAGAGGCAATAATGATTAGTTTTATAAGATCAAATGCTATTACTATGAAAAAAATATGCATCTATTACACATGTATCCAGAATAATTATCTAACATCAGTAAATTTAAAATGGACAAAAGGTCTACATTTAGAATGAAATCAAACTCAACTAACATGATTCAAAAAGAGTGATCATAGTCAACAGACTCAAAAAATTATGATATTGCAAATATGACTAACACTAAAGACAAGAATAAATTTCACATGTTCAAAATAGAAATATCATCTTTAGATTAATGCAACATGTGACAATTCTAGTAGCTTAGATAAATACAAAGGCAATGTAAAAATTGCAAGTAGAGAAAGTCATTTGATTACAGGTCAAAGAACTGTCCATTTTATACTATCTTTTAGAAAAATAAAGGATATTACTAATGTTTTGGAATTAAAGAAGAACTTATTGTCAATTGGCTCAATTTAAAACAAAGTTCTTGTGGCTTGTTTTGATGATGATAGGTGCATCTTTTATAGGAAAGGATACAAATTCATTGTTGCCAAAGGAATCTACAAAAAATTCAATGATCTCTATCAATTATTAGCAAGAAATCTAAATATTATAATACATCTAGCTTAAGCCTAAATTAATATCATAAAACTATGGACCATAGGCTGAGACATATCAACTATCATTGCTTATATGAACTATTTATACAATATATGGTTACTAAATTATCCTACATTCAAATTTATAAAGAAGTATGTGAATAATGTCTAAAAGGAAAACAACACTGAGACAGCTTTTCAAAAGCCACTAATTTACAAGCAACAAAGCGACTTGAATTATTGTACATAGATCTTTGCAAGTCTTTTTTATTACCATCACTAGAAGGATCAAAATATTTTCTTGTAATTTTGGATGATTATAGTCATTATATATGGATTTTCTTCTTTCTTAAGAAATTAGATGTCTTTGAAAAATTCAAGGTCTTCAAAAACATGCTAGAACTACATATACAAATAAAAATATAAACTATCAAAAGTTATCATGGAACAAATTCTTATCTAGAACATTCATCAAATTGTGTAAAGATTCATGAATGAAACACCAACTAACAAATGATAGGTCTTCCAAACATAATAGTATCATCATAAGAACAAATTGCAAACTTTTGAAAATAATCAAGACCATGTTAACATAAGTTGGAGTTCTAAGATTTTTATGGAA